AGCATTCTTGTGAGATGTTTAGGTTACTTTAAAACCAATGAGTGCCGGTATTTTGAATTAAGCAACTGAATAGCCAGCTGAATGATAGAAAAAGACTGTTGTAATGAAAGAATTTTTTAACATAAGAAATCTCAAGGTTAAATAAAATCACTCTGTGTTAGTTTTAAATTCTGACCCTTTATTTATTTCTGTTGTGTTTGGCTTGTGCTTTTTCCCACCTTCAACTGCTCTATCTCTGCCAGTAGAAATCCTATTCTCATTCAAGATCAAGCTAAAATTCAGTCTTCTCCAAATCTCCATAATCTCCCTAGAGAGTAGTCTCTTAATCATACTACTGAACACATAGCACATATCGTTCATAATTATCATCATAAAAACTGTTTGTTGTCAAGTCTTATAAAGCTTATAACGCATTTTCACATTTCATTTATCTTATTTAAGCATCGAAAAATCCCTGAGTAAAGAGGAGCAAGAATTACAACTGTATCTCCAAATGGTGGGTTCCAGGTATAGAGGATCAATGCATTACAAAAAAAAAATTAAAATTTCCATTTTAACAATATGAGAAAACCCAAGTATATAGAAGTTCAGTGACTTAACAAAAACTACAAAAATCTTAAGAATAGAAGTTCAAACTTACATCTTACAAATCATCCTACTTACTGCTCAGGTTAAAATCCTACTCTTTGCAGTAGAAAACTTAGAGGGAGAGTAGGGGTCATTGTTTGTCCTTACTCCCAAAAAGTTTCAAGAATTCAGACTTTTTTATGAATGAAGTCTTATGTGCTTTGTAAAACCAGACCTAAGAAAACTATATTTTTCTCCCTGTTTCTTTTGGTTCTTATCTATTTTCTGAACTAGATTTTCACTAAGTATGGAAGTGACACCCAGAGAAATGAATAGCAAACAAAGTATCATTAAAATGGAAAAACAGATTAAGCACTAGTATTACTATAAGAGTAACTGGGGGAGGGTTTGGTAAATTCTCCACACTGACTTATTAGTAAAAAATCTAAAAATTCCAAAAAATCATGTCTATTAAGTCAAATATTTGAATACAAATCACTAATATGAAATAATTGCCTTGATTACAGGGAATTTTTAATTAGATAAAATTCTTTTATAATACACTAATTTATTTTAGGTTGATGAAGAACTTTGTTATAGCATACACTCAAAGAACTTTAAATCTTCTTCCACAGGTAAAGTTTATTAATTCTTCAATAGACATTTACTGAGTACTTACCATGTAAAAATCACTATTTCTTTATTGTAGCCACTTTATAATTGCACTTTGTAATCACATTTAACTATCATACTAAAATCATTTATCGCGATAAAAAACAGTAACCTAATTAAGAAACAACTATATCCATATGCTTTTTCACACTAGTGGTCATAGAAGCTAGTTAATACTTCTTTAACAGAGTATTTGGGGTACCCGAAGACTTCTCTAACTAATAGTAATTATTTTAAGATTTTTCAGCCCATGATTAGCTCTACGTGAGAATAAGCTCAAAGCTGGTTAAACTACTTAATTGGAAGAAATAAAATATTTTATTATTAAATAAGATTTTATATAAAAATCATCCAAGAAAAGCATTCAAGAACTATTAGTGCCATTTTACCTCACGATATATGAAAAACTTCACACAAGGGTATGGGCTTCAAAACAGTCAATCCCATATGCATATTCATCAAGTTTCTTTTTATAATTTTTATGAAAAAGTACTAAAACCAACCTGCTATAGAAAGTGTTGGTCCCCCTTGGTAATGTGATAATCCTGTATCTTGGGTCAAGTCAAACAGTAACTCTGAAGACTTATTACATACAACTCGTGATGAATTCATTATATAACCCTGTTAAAATAGTTCAAAGGAAGAATATTACACTTATTCAACATACTTATATGTTTTTATATATTATTTTATATAATTACATTATATGTAATGTATATATTATACAATATATAATTTCATATAATTATGAGAATTTATCTTTCACTGGGCTTAGGCTTTTTTGGATTAACACTATTTACTTCAGAAGTAGAAGGACGTTTTGATAAAAATAAACTTTCATTCATACCTGCAATGGTTTAAATAGTGGGAAGAATATTTTTAAACACTTTAGGATAGTGCTTACATCTAAGTAAAAACACTCTGGAGCAAAATTAAAGGTAATATAGTAGAATTATCATATCATACAAATGATAATAATGATAAAATTTGATGTGATCCAAATTCAGCCGGTATGAAGAAATTGCACATACAATTATGGACTACATATATTCAAATAATTTATAAAATAATCTTTCTATGCAAGAAAATTCTAAATACAGTTTAAAATAAAGAAATATATAAACAACTGTTATAAAAGATGCCAGATCAAAATAGTCCAAGCAAAAAAAGAAGACAGAGTATACTCTGAAATAACTTCCTACAAATTATCTTTAGACACATAAATGCACTGAGTACAAAACAACAATAAATTTTATTTGTTTCAAAAATTTAGAGCAACCCTTAAGATGCTTTTTTATTTAACAATTTAAAACATTGGAAGGAAAGTTAGTTCTTTTGCCACTTAACAAACTGACAAGTGGTCTACTCGTGCCTTTAGGTGATATAGCCCATTTATGCTATGTATGAAGTGGAAATAACTAATCTCGAATAATATTTTATTCATTCATATGAAAGGGCACATAACAGAA